TGGGCGTGGTGCCACTTGCCTTTAATCCCGCCACTTGGGAGGCAGAGGCAGGCGGATCTCTGTGAGTTCGAGGCCAGCCTGGTTTATCTAGTGAGTTCTAAGACAGCTGGGGCTATAGGGAGACCCTGTTACCAAAAAAAAATTAAAAATGTTTAAATAATGTCTAAATAAATATCTGTCTACTACAATCTTACCTGAAATACAGTAAGTTTTGCCCAAATCTCTAAAACATTCCTTGATCCTGTACTTATTACCTCTCCTACCCCTCCTAAAGTCAAAACTCATATTTCCTTAGCAGCTTATCAAGAAGAAAAAAATCTGAATAAATCCATCCACATTAAAATTAAAAGAGTTAGCTGGGCATGGTGGTGCACACCTGTAGTCCCAGCACCTGGAAGGCAGAGGCAGGTGGCTCTCTGTGAGTTCAAGGCCAGCCTGGTCTACATAGTGAGTTCCAGGATAGCTGGGCCTACAGGGAGACCCTGTCTGAAAAAGACCAAAAAAAAAAAAAAATTAAAAGAGTTGCCCACATGGTGATCCACACCTTTAATTCCAGCACTCAGGGGGCACAGGCAGGCAGATCTCTGTGAGTTCAAGGCCTGCCTGGTCTACATAGTGAGATCCAGGACAGTTGGGGCTACAGGAGACCCTGTCTCAGAAACAAAACAATTACAGACAGTACTAGCCATCTCCATATATATATATATATATATATATATATATATTTGTTGAGAGTATGTCCATTCCTATACATTTTAAAGCTAAATAAATGTAACTACAGTAATTTCACAGTTAACAAAGCACTTGCTCGATTCCTAGCACCTACATGGCAGCTAACAACCATCTATAACTTCTGTGGGCATTGTCCAACATGGGTGCACTTACATACATGCAGACAAAACATTCATACACGTAAAATTTTTTAAACATAAGGAAATGGGGCTGGAGAGATGGCTCAGCGGTTAAGAGCACTGACTACTTTTGCAAAGGACCTGGGTTCGATTCCCAGCACCCACATGGCAGCCACGAACTGTCCTTAACTCCAGTTCCAGGGGAATCTGAAGCCCTTTTCTGACCTCCACAGCATTGCAGGACATGGGTGCACTCACATACATGCAGGCATACACTCATACACATAAAATAAAAATAATAAGTGAAAAAAAAATAAGGAAATAACTTTTTTTTTTTTGGTCTTTTTCAGACAGGGTCTCCCTGTAGTCCCAGCTGTCCTGGAACTCACTATGTAGACCAGACTGGCCTTGAACTCACAGAGATCCACCTGCCTCTGCCTCCCAAGTGCTGGGATTAAAGGCATGCGCCACTACGCCCGGCAGGAAATAATTTTTTTAAATTCCCATTTGCTCCATGCTATATTCAGAGTTGAGCCCAATCTCTCTTTCCTAATGCTAAATCCCATTGTCAGGGCCCCTTTACCTACTACAATGGTCCTGATTAAAGTTGACCTCAGGATACATTAACAAGTATCATTAAGTAAGTTTTCCTTTAACAACAATCACTTTAGATCTGTGGGAAAAGGATCCTGAGTTTAGAGAAGTGTTATCTCCTAGTAATTTCTGCTGTTTAAGACCTGATGCTGAGTTTGTATGCACTCAGAAATTAACCACTCAGCAAGCACAGCAGCATTCATAAAGCTCTGAGTGGCTCTTAACCTCAACTCCATCAAGTCCTCAACCCTGACTTCTTCACTGGACATGGCAGTGCACAGCTGTATTCCCAGCACTTGGGAAGCAGAGGCAGGAGGATTATGGCAAGTTTGAGGCCAGCCAGGGCTACACAGGTGAGACTCTGCTTCAAAAAGCAAACTAATTATTACCTAAATATAATCTTTGTAGCAGCTGCGCATGGTAGTGCACGCCTTTAATCCTAGAACTTGGGAGGGAGAAGCAGGCCGATCTCTCTGAGTTCAAAGCCAGTCTGGTCTACATAGTGAGTTCCAGGCCTATTGGAGCTACAGGAAGACCCTGTCTCAAAAAGAAAAAAAAAAATTATAATAGTAATAATCTTTTTTTTTTCTTTTTTTGGTCTTTTTGAGACAGGGTCTCCCTGTAGCCCCAGCTGTCCTGGAACTCACCATGTAGACCATGCTGGCCTTGAACTCACAGGGATCTGCCTGCCTCTGCCTCCCGAGTGCTGGGATTAAAGGCATCTGCCACCACGCCCAATAGTAATAATCTTAATCACAATAGAAATCACACAAAGCCGGGCGTGGTGATGCATGCCTGTAATCCCAGGCACTAGGGAAGCAGAGGCAGGTAGATCTCTGTGAGTTCAAGGCCAGCCTGGTCTACATAGTGGGTTCCAGGACAGCTTGAGGCTACAGGGAGACCCTGTCTCAAAAAAACCGAAAAAAAAAAGAAAAAAGAAAGAAAGAAAGAAAGAAAGAAAGAAAGAAAGAAAGAAAGAAAG